TCACTGGATTGTGATGATATCATTTTCATAAACGTAAAGAGTGAGGCCTGAGGGTGGCTGTTGCTGTTGGTTGTCCCAAGTATACATTGTCAATGCAAGATACACGGAGGCAAACGCCAAGCCTTGAGGTCAAACTACTTGCATGATGCAGTGAAATAAAAGAGAGGTCTGTGGGACAGCCCCCAATCCCAGCTACGTCAACCCCCTCCCCAGAAGATTGCACTACAGAAGATAGCACAGAAGATCCAGCGGGGGGGAGAGGGGTGGGTGTCCTCAGACCATGCTGGAGCAAACTAAGAGGGAAAGAGAGAGAGAGAGAGAGAGAGAGACAGTGTGTGCACAGCATCCTGACCCACCAAATCTTGAGACCAACATTCCTGTGCAGAGCAACTGATGCACAGAGAGGACCATAGGCCCAGCTCCACCACAAGACACAACGTCTCCTCACTGACCCACAGCACTACAGGGGACAGCACTGGAGACACAGTGTAGGAACTGCTCCTGGTCTGATACCCCCCATCACCACCACTACTGGGGCAAAACATGAAGGGAATGCGACAGAGCAGCAAGGGGAATAAAGCAACAAAGTCCAGAGGAATCCCAAAAATAGACTCTGGAATCGGTGGGCAGGGATTGGCACCTCACCAGACCCGATTGGAAAACATTCACAAAAATCAGCAGACAGACATGAGACTATTTATAGGCTTTTTTCTTCTTCTCATGTCCATCCATCTAAGATAGGCAGGAAAACAACCCCAAGGAGAAAGCAATGGGGCCTGTGCCTCCGGGGGGGACAAGGGAGAGGAGGAGGTGGGGGAACAGGTGGGGGGAACCAACAGACCCAGGGAGAAGGGAACAATAAGATATCAAAAAGTGATGGCAAGGAGGGCATAGAATGCCTGGTGGGGGTTTGAACAAGTGCAGTAGCCAAGAGGAATTACTGAGAGCCAAATGAAGGTCAAACATAATAGTGGGACAGGAGGAAAGTAAAAGGAAATAGAGGGATGAACCAGAAGGCAAATGATACTTATAGAGGTATAAATATAAACATGTACAAATGTAAATATATTAATATATAACAATAGGAATATAAATCTATGTACATATACTTAAATGTTAAGTATTAAGGTAGCAGACGGACATTGGGTCTCTACTCAACTACTTCTTCAATGCAAGAACACTTTGTTCTAATAACCTGGCATTCTGTGATGCTCACCTTCCCAACATGATCACTGAAGACAAAATGGGTGCATAAGACAATGTGGTGGAGAAAGCTGAGGGTGCCTGACTATTAAAAGATATAGCATCTGGGGTCTTAAAGTCTTGAAGATAAACAAGCAGCCATCTTGCCAGGAAGCAACAAAGCCCACATGGAAGAAGGACACCAGGCTGTGTGAAGTGTCAACAGGATCAGGTACCAGGCATCAGAAGACCCAAACAAACAATTATATCGATGGGAACAATGAAGTTGGAGTGGAGATCCAAAGCTCATCTATAGACAATTGGACATCCCCTCACAGAAGGGTCACAAGAAGGAACGAATCAGCCAAGGTACAGCATAGCACCAATGAAACACACAACATTCCTCTAGTTCTTTAGTGCTTTCTTCCCCCCACTATCATGACCCCAGGTCTATCTTACAAATCTGTCTGGACCAGAGCATGTACACTGGTACAGAAAAGAGCTGTCGACACACAGTATCCAGGATGGATAAACCACACAGGAACAGTAATGGGAGTCCTGATACCCTGAGGGTAGGGGGAAGGTGAGGGGAGAAGGAGTTCAGAAATAGGGCACTGATGTCAGTGATTGGTGTTTA